CCAAAGCCAGCCGCTGCTGAAACTGACCAGGGGCTGACTACAGGAAGCCTGAGGCAGAGTTGCTCTGCCCCGGGCTTCCTGGAATAGATCAGTTTCAGCAGCAGCTGACTTGGGGACGCCTGGGTTTCTTAAATTGAATCCGTATGTAAGTCAGAACTGGCATCCAGATTCAGCCGCTGTTGAAACTGATCAGTTTCAGCAGCGGCTGATGCCAGTTCCTACTTACATACAGATTCAACTTAAGAACAAACCTACAGTCCCTATCTTGTACGTAACCCGGGGACTGCCTGTAGTAGTTTGGCTGTGTAGACACTGGTAAAGTTATTTCGAAATAACAGCTGTTATTTTGAAATAACTTTGCTGTGTAGACATATCCTAAGAGATGCAATTTAGAGAACAGACAGACATGACTATTTTGTGCAGTATTATAATGATCTTCAATTTCTCTTGTAAGAACTTTCTTAGTTGTGTACAACTACAGTGCCATACATAGGCTCTGCACTGCTGTTATCCTGCCTTACATTTTTCTGGTTGTCCTATTGTCTTCTGCTATGTGCCCAGTGTTTGTTGCAGGAGAGGTAGTCACATCACCCAAAAAACCAATGGTCTCTATCTAGAACAAATACAGAAAGCTGAAATTTTACATTTTAATTCTTGGAAGGTGTCTAATTGTTGGAAAAGGAGGTTTCCTCTGAAAAGGTCTCAGATGGTTTGAAGGTCTCATTTTTGTATTTTTTATGACGGAACTTTAAAAGATAATAAGTCTTTGAATGCAGGTAAATTGGTATCTCTGGTGGTGAGACAAAGGACAACATCTCAGTAACCTTCTTCTTGAAGATTGGTGATCTGAAAGTGTATAGAATACAAATCTGAAGTCCCTGTGAGTTAAATGAAAGCTCAGAGTTAATCATGGTAAAATTGACCAACATCTTTTTTATGTGACTTAAATAAAATAAAATAAAAATAATTAATAATAATACTTGATAAATAATAATTAATAAATAATAATACCTAGGGCTCGACAAATAATACAATCTATTCGCCCAGGGCGAGTAGATTGTAACCCAGAAGATCCGGGTTCGGGCGATCTGCGCATGCCAATATCTTACATAGCACTTTTTATCAGTAGATCTTAAAGCACTTCACAATCTTGAATATATTTATCCTCTCAACATCCCTGTCAGGTAGAGAAGTTCTATAGGTCAGGAACAGAGGCACAAAGAGACTAAGGGTTTGTCTACACTGCAGAATTTTTCCAGAAAAACGGCTGTTTTCCTGGAAAAAAATATACTTACATCCACACTGCAATTGCATTCTTTTGACAAAAAGCTGAAAGAACGCAGGAGTTTTTCCGACAGCGGTAAACCTCTTTCTACGAGGAAGAAGCCTTTTTCCAAAAGAGCTCTTTCAGAAAAAGACATGTGTGGACAGGGAAAAGGTGGGGGTTTTTTTACGAAAGAAGAGGCATCCAGGAAGACGCACAGGTGCCCTGGTGGCCACTTCGTCCATAGTAATCACAACTTAAATGTGAGATGGCGTCCAATCAATGTGGACGCTCTCTTTCAAAAAAGCAGATTGCTTTTTCAATGTGTTTTTGCTGTGCGCACGCTCTCTTTCTAAAGAAGTTTTTCCTGAAGATCTCTTCTGGAAAAGCTTCTTCCAAAAGAAGCCTGCAGTCTAGACGTAGCCTAAGTGACTTGCCTTTAGCCACATAAGAAATATGTGGCAGAGCAGGGAACGGAACCTGGGTGTTCCAATTCCTAGTCTACTCACCTAATCATTATAATTATAAACCATAACAATAATATCTTGAAATACAGTGTGGTATTACAAGAATGCTGCATGTATTGGCTACTATGTATAAGAATGGCAATAGTGCCCTCTACTGGATGAAATATGCCCAAGTAAGTAGCATGACAATACAAATTTTGAAGCTCAGGAAAATGCAGGACAATGTAGCACTTTAAAGACTAACAAGATGGTTTATTAGATGATGAGCTTTCGTGGGCCAGACCCACTTCCTCAGATCAAATAATGGAAGAAAACAGTCACAACCATATATACCAAAGGATACAATTTAAAAAAAATGAACACACATGAAAAGGACAAATCACATTACAGAACAGAAGGGGGAGGGGGGGGGAGGAAGGTGAATGCCAGTGAGTTAATGATATTAGAGGTGGGGAAGGGGAAATGTCTGTGAGTTAATAGTATTAGAGGTGATAATTGGGGAAGCTATCTTTGTAATGTGTAAGATAGTTGGGGTCTTTATTAAGTCCGGTGTGGAGGGTCCGGTGTGGAGACTTAATAAAGACCCCAACTATCTTACACATTACAAAGATAGCTTCCCCAATTATCACCTCTAATACTATTAACTCACAGACATTTCCCCTTCCCCACCTCTAATATCATTAACTCACTGGCATTCACCTTCCTCCCCCCCCCCCCCCCCCCCCCCATCCCCCTTCTGTTCTGTAATGTGATTTGTCCTTTTCATGTGTGTTCATTTTTTTAAAATTGTATCCTTTGGTATATATGGTTGTGACTGTTTTCTTCCATTATTTGATCTGAGGAAGTGGGTCTGGCCCACGAAAGCTCATCATCTAATAAACCATCTTGTTAGTCTTTAAAGTGCTACATTGTCCTGCATTTTGCTTCAGCTACCCCAGACTAACACGGCTACATCTCTACCACTATGAAGCTCAGGAGGCAGCTAAGTTAATCTGTACAGGATAAACTTAGAAAACAAAGAACAACAAATGGTCTGGTAGCACTTTATAGACAAATTGTATATCTACAGCCTTTCGAGTTTGCACATATCCACCTTATATGTGTGGGTATTCACATCAGTGGACACCAGGGTGGATATCCGTGGCTCATTTTTGTGGATACAGTTCTGCAGAGGCCCATACAAATTTTGTATCTGTGCAGAACTCTACCTCTTAGCTAGTAATACCAGAGGAGTTTAATGAATAATAAATGTCAACTCACAGCTATTTTTAAACCAAGATTCTGAATTTCTGTGTGAAGCAACATGTTTTTCCAATAATCTACTAAAATACTCGATTATAGAGGGAAAAGGTTAGATACATTTTTTCAGTGTCTTATTCATCAGTATTGAAACAGCTACATACTGTACCTGAGTGGCATTGAAAATACAGAACAAAATGCTGAAGACATAATTTGCTTCTTTGTTATTTATTAGCACTAGATAGCCCAGGACCCAGGTGATTCCAAGCACTACAGCTACAGATAAAGTCCCAAGTATCTTGGTTGTGAATGATTTCTTTTTATTGCTAGAGGAGAGAAAAAAAGTAACATTCCAAGTGTTATAAAATGTAGGGATAAAACATCTCATTGTCTTGGTTTATTAAACCATTTTATGTAGTGCCCGGCATTTAAGGATTATTCAGTGATAATCTAGGCTATGTCCTGTGTCTGACAGAGCATCCCTGCTAGAGGAAGGGGGTAGGAGCGGTAGGGGCAACCCTATGTTTCTATGTCTTTATGATTCTATACGTGGTCAAGGCCATCAACGTCATCCTGCTGTGGAGGATCATCACTCTGGGCAACATGAACCCCATCATCACTGCCTATGCTGCCATAGGCTTCCCCAACAGAGGGGAGGAGAGCATTGATGACACCCACATCTCCATCCTGGCCTGCAACCACTGTGCCTCAGATGACATAAACAGAAAGGGGTACCTTTTACATGGTGCTACAGGCCCTTGTGGATCACAAGGGACACTTCAGTGATGTCAGTATCAGCTGGATGGGGAAGGTGCATGATGCCCACATCTTCCAGAACTCCTGCATGTTTTGAAAGATGCACGCTGGCACTTTTTTCCCCCCACTGCACCATCGGAGTTGGGATGTTGACATGCTGATGTGCAGCTTGGGTGATGCAGTCTACCCCTGGCTCTCCTGGCTTATGAAGCCCTACATAGGCAGCCTGGACCCCACCAAAGAGACTTCAACACCAGGCTCAGCAGGTGCCGTATGGTTGTGGAGGGTGCCTTTAGCCTCCTAATTAGCCCAGCTGGAGAAGGAGGTAGGAGCAATCCAGCCATACCGGAGGAGTTCTAGCATTCTCCCTCTTGTAGTAAAGAAAACTGCTCTCTCCAGGAATGTGCTACCACCATACCAGAGTTCTGCTCCTTTCCCCTCTGCAGTTCCAGCAGGACATAGGGCAATAACAGAATGCTTGTCTGGTGGTAGCATATTCCTACATGGAGCAGGTTCCTACTACACTGGCAGCTTCTCTGCTAGGTCTCTCACCAGGGCCAGATTAAGACCTTTAGAGTCCCTAATCACTGAAAAGATTATGGTGCCACCCCCATATGTAATTCAAAATGAAAACAATACTATACCGTAAAATCTCTTTTTTTGTGTGTGTGCCCCTGCTTTGCTGGTGCCCTAAGCACGTGCATAGTCTGCCTATTAGGTAATCCAGTCCTGGCTCTCGCCCCCAGTCCTGTCCTACGGTGGAGCTGTTGTACACCTGGAGGAGAATCTGCATGGAACAGCTGAGCATGGTTTCTAGTATGCTGTACTGGCTATAAATATCTTATTGATATGATGGACTGGACTACTTCCACTGCAGCCCCTGAAGTTAACGAAATGGTACCCTTTTGATCAAGCTCAGTGCACTTCAAGGAGAATAGTAATAGAGAGATAGCTGTGTTAGTCAGATCTTGCTAAAACAAAAGGAAAAACTATATAGCACTTTAAAGACTAACAAGATGGTTTAATAGGATGAAAGCTCATCACCTATTAAACCATCTTGTTAGTCTTTAAAGTGCTATGTAGTTTTTCCTTTTGTTTCTTCAAGGAGAACTGAGCCTAAAAGATGTTAAAGTGTCTAACTCTTGCAACTGAAGTTTGAACATTTCAACCACATAAATATGTAAGGAAAGAGGCTTTAAAGGAGGAAAATCATGCTCAAAATCATCAGTGAACATTTTTCAAAAGGACAAAAATTATGAAAGGCACCAGCTAACACTTGAGACCAAGAATCAGATTTTCTGCCAAAAGAAACAGGACCAAATTCTTCTCTCAGTTTGTACCAGTATACCACAGGGCAAAATTTGGCAAATTCTGTTAAGTAAATGAGATAGTGAGGGCTATTGCACTTTGTGATATTCTAGTGTCTTTGAAAAAATATATATATTTAAATGCAACAGGCTTCTATCAAACATTTGAGTCCATGTCATCTGAATATTCTAAATGCTGTGAATTCTCTTCCATCCTCTCTTACCTCGTCAAATTTGTGTTCTCCTTCCACATAACTAAGACTGTGATCTTGACAAAGACGATAATGTTAAACAGAAGGATGATTGCCACTATCAAAAGGAATGCCCATATCATGGGCTTTTCTTTGCTCACATTCCCATTTTTATCCAGGGCTGCAAGCCAGCAACTTAAACATAAAGAGAAATCATGAACAGATTTGGCAGACATATTATAAATGCAACACCATAACATAATACACCATCTTTCATCCTGGAGGATCTCAGAGGACTTTATAGACATCACTCACACACTAGTGAAATGCAATCATAGCTATGCATTCAGCATTAATAAAGCTATTTTTAAAAAAAAATTCTCCCCAGGAAAAGTGAAGAATATGTTATCAAACTGAAAGTGCTCAGGAGAATTTGGGGGGGAGAAATTTATCTAAAATTTATTTATCTAAACTGACCTGGACATAGGTGTATATTATTATTATTGTCTATGTTAGACTAGAGCCTATGGACCACCAGTCAAGGATCAGTGAGCCCCATTGGAGTATAAAAGACAGCATCTATTCCAAAAAGTTTACAACCTATGTTCATGACAAGATGAAAGGAGCAGCAGCTGAAACAGAGAAGTGGGGCCAAGGAAGGGAGGATGAGATTACAGTGTAACTATAGTGTTCTTGTTTAACAAACAGGAAATTAATACTCCCTAAGTCTTGAGAAAAGTACCGTAGGATATTTTATGATCCAAGTGGAAAGGGTTTTGGTTTTACATCTAATTTGAAAGAATCCACCTCTGATTACATATGAACTGTCCACTAGAACCAAATGCAGACTGTGCCCAACCCACTATATTTTATAAGAAAGCCTCTTATGGTGTGGCTGTAGTCACATGAAAAGCAGATCCAAATAACATAGGGTTATTGTGGACAATAGTGAGCGAGGCCAAAATTTTAAAAGTTACAAGCCTAACTTTAAGCCCTTAAATGCCTATTTAGGATCCTAAATAAGTGGTCTGAATTTCAAAGAGGCTGAGAGCATGCCCAGTTGCCACTGAAGTCAATGAGGAGTTGCGCATGAGCATTAGTGGCAAATGTTGGCCAAATCAGCATTTGTTAACAAAGGACCCAAACCTGAAGCTAAATCTAATAAAAGTTTTGCTTAGATAAGGACTAAAAGGTTCAGGACTGGATTTGTTAGTTACAATTACTACCATGGCAAATCCAGGGTAGCATGAATACCACTGTGCATTAAAGATACAGTAAAACAAGGGTTGTAACCATTCATCTACTTACAACTCTTCTTGTCGGTAGTTTAAGTGCTTGCCGTCTCTGTAAGTAGCTCCAAATGTTATAGCAACCACTACAGCAGGAAATCCTAATTGAGTGTGTGCGTGAGAGAGAGAGAGAGAGAGAGAGAGAGAGATCAATCTTATAATGTTTAATTTCCAAAGTCTGGATCATCCCCTATTGCACAAATACCTCAATAAGGGGGAAACTTACCTGCTAAAACCCTCAAGGCCTATTTTCTATTTGTCCTGCATTCAGTTTAGTGGGGATAGTGGCCTTGAAGAAAAGGCAGGATTTGGGGTGGTGTAGGGCAGTTATCTATATGGAGCACAGGATCAAACCTTACTGACTTTACTTGTGGTACATCAGTTCCTAAACATGCCTTCTAGAGACTCCCCATACCCTGATAACAAAGCCAATTCCTCTGCTGTGCTGCAGTTGGCTCTCTTATCACAATTGTGCAATCCTAGCCCCTTTTCACAATTTAGAACTATTTAGTAGAGGCCATGAGACAACTGTATCTAGGGTTGCCAGGTGACTGGTATTCTACCAGACAGTCTGGTTTTTGTGCCCTCTGTACGGTAAAAAAATCCAGAAAATACTGGACATGTATAATGTCTGGTATTTCCTGGATTTCTGGCTGGGCGCCGGACGGAAGCCTGGCGGGGGCGGGGCAGTGGCTGGGAGGTGGGGCGCGATCGGCGCTGGGAGCCCTGGCTGCGTCTGACACCTTGGGGAGGAGGAGAAGCCCTGTCCCTGCTCCTGAGCGTGTGGAGGAGCCGCAGCCGGACTCACTCACGCTTCTCTGGACCGTGCACGGGACTGACAGCCCCTCGGGATCTGCACATGCCCGGGTCAATCCCACCCCACCCCCACTTCCCCCAACCCTTCCCGACCAGCTCTGCTGCCCCCAACCCCATCCAGGGCACCCCTGCTTCCTGCCAGCCAGTTCTCCTCCTCCCGATCTCCCCTGGCCAGCCACACTGCTCCCTCCCCCTCCCCCATCTCCTCAGGCCAGCCACGCTGCCCCCAACCTCCGGCCCCGCCCATCTCCCGCGGCCAGCCGTGCTGCCCCCGCTACTCCCTCGCGGCCGGTCCTCCCCCCCATCAAGTGTGTCCGGTATTTTTTCTAAACCTACCTGGTAACCCTAACAGTATCTCACATCAAGTGCATGCTTAGTGTGGCAAAGAGACCTAAGATATACATGCCTGTTTTATTAGAATACTGTACTGAATGAGGTTGAGCTCCCAGAGATTTCTATCTTATACAGTGGGTACGCCTGGCCTCCCTCAGTTCTCCCAGTAGTTCCCTTAATCTTGCAGCAGTGCTGCTTGTTGCTAAGCACTGAAAGATGTGCTAAATATTTATTACAAAATAATACAGTAAAACTTGTGCTATTCAGCATCCTTGGGGATTAGGGCGTTCTGGTTATCTAAAAATTCCGGTTATCTGAGGGTCCCATCAACCTAGGAAAAACGAATGGACAATAATAGTAAAACTCAAGTTTTTAATATTGGTAGTTTTGTAGTGTGAGGCAGTTGGTCTCACATTTCTATTTTGAGTTAGAGATGATTAATACTTCTTAAATAAAAAATTGTTAAGCTACTCTTGGTAAACCACACCAGGCCTGTGCACCTGAAGATGTGTCAGTATTGTGGCTGGGGGCAATGCCGGTTAACAAAGTTTTCTGGTTAACAGAGTGCTGGATTACAAAGGTTTCACTGTACTTGATAAATAATATAAGCCAATTTTTGGTTGAGGGAATGCATGGCTCCCAGTAAAGTCAATGGAAATCTTACAAGGGCAGAATTTGACTCCAAAGATGCAACCATTTATCAGAAACAATTTTGTTTTAAGTGATAAAACGTTCCTGAAGCCTTTAACTATTGTCAAAATTCTCGCTGCTTGCAGCAGAGGGGAGCTGCTGTGATAATGAATGTATATCCTATAATTCTACTGGTCTCCATGTTATTGCAGTGACAGCAGACTAAGCTGGTAGCCTCCAGGTGAATCAGTAAAAGGGCATCAGAAGTAACTGCAGGCTAGCTATTAAACCACACAGCTGAACCAAGGAAACTGACTGCATTTCATTTTGTCTATCAGATTAACACATTTCAAACTTACACTGAATGCATTATTTACAGTTTGAAGAGCCCTCTGCATATGGAACTCTAATTCTTACCCCATCCAATTATTGACATGATTAAGGTGAAGTGTCCAGGAAGGGGCTTCAGGGTTTTAAGCAGCAGCAAGTACAATTGTGCAGAATTGAGTGCTGTCCACATAAATGTTGCCAACAAAAAGTAGTGCAGTAAGACAGCTACAGCCGTACACAAGGCATTTTCAGGAGGATCTTTCAGGTCCGAATGAAGTAAGGTGTTTTCAGGGGGAGTGCCATTGTTCTTTTTCATGACATTTGTGTTTTCAATTCCAGAGATGAAGATGATGTTGAAAATCAGCATAGCTGTGCAGAGATTCACCAACATCCAAGTAACTGAGAATTTTCGTGTTTTCCTATTTGTTGGTAAGCACCATACATGTTTGAAAAAAAAGCAGCAAAACAAGAGAAGAAATTATGATACATCTTTTAACATGTTAGAAGTCAGCTGGGGGAGTGTAGGCTTTTTTAATACAAACGTTGGATTGACTGGGATTTACAAAGCCAAAACCAAAAAACGCCAGCAATAAACTTTTGGTGTACAGTACTAAGGTCGCACCTCTCTAAATCGGGACACTATCATCCAGCAGCATCTGTGGTCCTGCCGGGACCAGACAGTCCCGGTGTAAAGTTGGCGGATAGGAACCCTGAGGGCGGCAGAGGAGCCTGGCGGGATCAGGAGGTCTGCACATGGCAGTAGGGTTGCTCAGGGGAGCGGCAGAGAGGGGAGCCAACAACAGGGGATGGAGTCAGCCAGGACGCTGGCAGCCAGGCCAGGGCTAGGGGACTGGTGGCAGGGGACCAGAAATGACTTCCCTGGTTTGGCAAAATCCCTCATCTGGGACCCGTTAGGTTCTGAGGATGCTGGACCAGAAAGCTCCAACTTGTACATGACTTTTATTTTCATCTCTCTCTCTCAAATTAATCAGTTGTCCTTGACTTCAATTAGAATTGAGGGCACTCAACACCTTGCAGGACTGTGCCCTTAGTATACCATTTGAGACATATTCCCTCATTTTTCTGCTGTTTTTTTCAAGCTGGCTAGCCTAAGTGTAAAATGGAGAAAACAGTGTAACAGAATTCTTTCTCAAGATTCAAGCTAGGTGTACAAAGCAGCATTATTTCAGAATAACACCAGTTATTCCAAAATAACATAGTGCATGTCTACACAGCAAGCTCATTATTTTGAAATAAATTCAAAATAATGGGCTTCTTACTCCATCTCCTATAAACCTCATTGTATGAGAAGTAAGGGAAGTCGGGGGAAGGGTGCTCTATTTCAAAATAACTGCTGTGTAGACAGCGCCAAAAGTCGAAATAAGCTATTTTGACTTAAGCTACACAATTAGCATAGTGCCAGTTGCATAGCTTATTTTGAGTTTAGCCCTGCTATTAGAGACACAAGGAGTTGGGCACATCAACATATTTTTAAAAATGCCTGTGAAAAACTCTCTCCTTCATGGCATTGGTATAACTCTGTTGGCTTTAGTAGAATGACACCTGAGCTCAGTGGTGCAAGTAAAATCCATTTCTTACCACTGTGGGGGTGGATGGGTGAGAGGGATCAGCTAATGAGAGGCACATGACCCTTCACGTGTCTCCTTCCAACGTCATCCCCACATCTGGGTCCCCATGTTTTCCCGATCTCCTCCCCATAATCCATCCCACTTTACGAGGGGGGAAGGGGAGGAGACATGCTTATTCTGTCCTCCTGCTGCACTGGAGACTTCAGGAAAGGTGCACAACTGGGCACTGCTAGACAACCTCACTCCAGCAGATCCTCTGGGACCACCCAGTGCCCTTCCACACAGCTGTGCCAGAAAGGAGCTGATGATGTTCTGCCCCTTTCCCTCACACCTACTTGGGGTATGTCTACACTACATGGCTCTGTTGACAAAGCCATATAGATGAGCTTTGTAGACATAGCAAAATGAAGCTGCGATTTAAATAATCGCCGCTTCATTTATATCAAAATGCGGCAGCCATTTTGATGTAAATGAAGCGGCGATTATTTAAATTGCCGCTTCGTTTTGCTATGTCTACAAAGCTCATCTACATGGCTTTGTTGATGGAGCCATGTAGTGTAGCCATACCCTTGGAGAGGGCCCATGGTTCAGTGCTGCCCCAGGAACCGCAGCATGGAAAGGAGCTGAACCCTCTGCACTGTCCTTCTGCAGAGCTGCATCTCCATCAGTGTACAGCCGGGCAGGACTGGGCGTTCTGTTCCTTTCCCTGCTGGGAGGAGCAGCAGGGAAAGGAGCAGACTGCAGGCAGCTCATCTGGCAGCTGTACCATCCCCCAACTTTGCCTCCCTCCGCCCCGTCCCCCGCCCTGTCCGCCTGTACACAGAGATGCAACTGCATGGAAGGACAGGGGACGAGTGGTATACAGCTGTGCCAAAGAGGAGGGTTGGAGCAACCAGCTCTTCCCATGTCACGCCAATATGCTGTGCCAGCTAAAAATAACGTGCTGGTACAGCATAACAGAGTGTACTGGCCTACTTGCACTCCTGCCTGAGTTACAGTAGCGTAAGCAAGATCAAAACAACTCCCAGAAACAGCCTTTATCATTAACCTGAGATAGCTGCCATGATGCAATCTGGCATTTGGCTATTGCCTGAAAAAAGATCAGGTGATATTAATTAATACATTGTTTCTCTTTATAGAAGCTGCTGCACATTCCGGGCAAAATAAATCATTTTAGCACATAATCTGGCATTTGGCTATTGCCTGAAAAAGATCAGGTGATGTTAATTAATACATTGTCGTCTCTTTATAGAAGCTGCTGCACATTCAAAACACACTGGGACAAAGCCTGAGGTATTTACTTAGTCCCTTAATCAGGCAAAAAGTTCTAGGGAAGTCAACAGGAGTTTTGCATTGAGTAGGGGCTTCAGAATTTGGCCCATCAAGTGTTGAGACTAAAGGTTTGAAAATATTATCTCCTGAGTGTAGTGAACACCTTAAAACCAGCAGTTTCTAGCATTTTCTCTTTTTAATCCCATAGAACTAACTTTTCTAATATACATTTCTATCCTGCATCAATCTCTGTATCTCTCTTTTTCTCTATCATATTCAAAAGTAGGATACTCGCGATATCTATCATATTATTGTCAATGAAGTGTCATTTGTTACTTCTGATTGTCTTAAAAAAACAAAATACAGTTAGCCAGAACTATACATAAACCAAATGGACTCAGACTGAAATAGGGATATGATCCTTCAATGGGATTCCGCAGTGTCACTACAGCATACCTCTGTAGATCCCTTTGAAGGATCAGGACCAAAGGTTAAACATTTTGTGAGTCAGAATGGGATGTTAATACTCAGTAGCTCTTAGGAAGGGCAGAGCACCTCACAAATTGGGCCATGAGAGATACTCTTCAGAACTCTGTGGTGCCACTTCTCTTTGAATCTAAAGTATTTTCAAATATCAGTTGTCATGATGCCTTTTGGTAACTAATTTTACTGCATTGTTATTTCCATATTTAAAGAAAGGAAACCACTACTGAGAAAGATTACATGATTTGCTCAAGATCACGCAGCAAGAGAGTGACACAGATGAGAAGACAACCCGGATCTCCTGACTTCCAGTCCTTCACTCTAACTGCTAACAATACAGCCTCTTAGGCTTACGACATATTTAGCAGATTGTTGATACTGTGCAATAGTAAGATATTAAGAGTATCCATCTATGTTATAAAGTGACTTCACTCACTTTTCCAGGCCATACTCAGAGCATAACGTTAAATTAGCATACACATATTTTTGCAGATTACTATTTTATGTATTTTCTCTTACCAGGTGAGAGTTTGAAACAGAATGGTAATAACCAGACCACCAATGGAGAATCCAATACCAATGTCTGAGACAATCTCTAGAGGTTTTGCATATGTGTAATTGATCCTGAAGCTCTAGAAAATAAATTTTATTTGTTATAAATAAGTTATTTAGCTAGTTGGATGTGCACGTGGTGGAGGAGATAGTTTTCTCTCTAAAATGTCTATGGACATGAGAATGATGGTTTTTTTAATGTTATGGCTACTATTAGCTACTGTTAAAATTTGCAGGTCACACAAAATTAGTCAAAACATTTTTGAAGAACTTCAGAGGGGCCTAGCAGTGCTAAGTGACTGTGAAGATTAAATGGCAGATGAAATTCATTGTTAAGAAATGTAGTGTACCTTGGAAGAAAGAATCTAAACTACTCATATATAATTCTGGATTATAAATTAAATGTAACCAGTAGAAAAATAATCTGGGCATTCTTATGGACAGCAAATTAAAACCTATCCTCTCTCTAGTAACAGAAAAAGCAGAAAACAAAATGTTAGCATGTATAATGACTGGTATAGACAACACTGAAAATAATATAATGTCTTTACTAGGGATGTGAGTGTGCACTCGTATACACAATTAACCCATGACCCTGGGCTTATCGGTTAACCTTAGAGTTACACGTAGGCCTCCTCCCCGCCCCTCTGCACTGCTGCCTTTGTATCAGTCGGCTCCCCGTATGTACCAGCTCCCACTGAGCTGGCTTCCCTCTCCCCACATGGCTGCTTCTTTATCAGAAGCAGCAGCCCAGGGGAGATGGAGGGAAGAGAGGGCGCAAGGTGTGAGCCTGTTACACATGAGGAGCCACCAGCTCCCATGTGTGCCAACTCCCACAGAGGTTGCCGGCTTTCCTCCCCTCCCCCCGCATGTAAATATGTAACCGCTTAAAAATTGCAGTTCTTACATGTTTACAAAATTACATACATTTTAACATCCCTATTCTTTGCACAATGCAATGGTACACCCTCAGGTGCATTAGGGTGCGGGAGTGGGTGTAGAGGTGGGGCAGGGGGTTAAAGTGCAGTAAGCTTACCTTGGGCAGCTCCTGTTTGGTGACATAATGGGGCTGGGGCAGGCTCCCTGTCTGCCCTGGCCCTGCACCACTCCTGGAAACGTCTAGCATATCCCTGGCTGCAGCCCTGGTGGTGGGAAGTGGCTCCATGCGCTGCCCTTGCCTGCAGACCCCACCACCACAGCACCTACTTGCACCCAGCAGAGGGGAGGGATGGCAGTGTGCAGAGGTGCCTCCCTCCTTCCGCCAGGCAGGGCCAGATTAACGCAAGGGCTTTAGTGGCTGCAGCCACTCCTGGAAACGTCTAGCATATCCCTGGCTGCAGCCCTGGTGGTGGGAAGTGGCTCCATGCGCTGCCCTTGCCTGCAGACCCCACCACCACAGCACCTACTTGCACCCAGCAGAGGGGAGGGATGGCAGTGTGCAGAGGTGCCTCCCTCCTTCCGCCAGGCAGGGCCAGATTAACGCAAGGGCTTTAGTGGCTGCAGCCCAGAGCCTCAGGCTAAGGGGGCCCCACAAAAAGATCTGGCATCTTGGAGGCCTGGAGATCTTTTTGTGGGGCCCTCTAGCCCGGGGCCCTGGGGTTGAAGCTCCTAACCCCCCTGCATTAATCTGACCCTGTTCTTGCCTCGGGTGCCTGGGGCCCACAGGCACAGGGAGGCTCTGTGTGCTGCCCCTTCTCCTCCCTCCTTCCCCCCCAAGAGCCAGGTCTGCAGCTCCCATTGTCTGGGAATTACAACCAATGGGAGCTGTGGGCACAAGAGCAGCTAAGGGCTACAGGAAGCACCACAGGGACCACACACTCCAGCCTTCTGCCCCAGCCTTGAGCACCTTCCTACACCCAAATCCCCTCACCCCCGGGCCCACCCCAGAGCTTACATCCCCAGCCAGAGCTCTCACTCCTCTCCTGCACCTCACCCTCTGCCCCAGCCCAGAGTCTAATACTGCACCCAAACTCCCTCCCAGAGCCTGCAACCAAGACCTCCCCATACTCCCTAACTCTCTGCCCCAACCTGGAGTCCCCTCCTGTGCCCAAACTCCCTCCCAGAGCCTGCAACCAAGACCTCCCCATACCCCCTAACTCTCTGCTCCAACCTGGAGTCCCCTCCTGTGCCCAAACTCCCTCCCAGAGCCTGGAGAAGTAGAGCCTGGAACCCAGAGGAGTATATCCCGGAGCTCAAGGAGGGGTAAAGTTAGCATGTCTAAATTAACAGAGTTATGCCTGAACCCTATGAACAGGGTACAGCTGGGTACCTAACTCGAGAGGATTACACCTTTAGCCCTAAGAACTAGGGAGGGGTGGGTGCCCTAGAGTGTGCAAGTGACAGAGCATTTTGTTCAGGTAACACCATGATACCTATAAGAAACTGGTCAAGTAACAATGTCTTTATAAAGGAGAATTTGGGGTTGCTGATCTTTTAAAAATCTTGATTGTAAAGTTTTCTTTCTTCCTCCCATACACTTCTGTTGCTCCTCTTAGGTTATTAGTTCATTGGGGGGAAATATTTTATAATCCTGTATATTCGAAACTGGCCTCATACTTCAGTTCTACCATTATAAAGACATTAACAACAGAGAAGAAAAGACAAATGATTTGCTGTTAAAAAGCCAATGTCCTACCATTAATACAGCAAAACTAGTAGTGTGATTACACCTGCATCTTAGTCCCTGTAGTATGTCTCCTTCTTTTTTGCAGCCTTTGGTGTTCCAGTCATTTTCACTGTAATCCCAAAAGACACATGCATAATTGTGCAGCAGAATCGATGGATTGTACTGTGGATCGTAAATACAAGAAGAAAAAAATGATAACAAATGCTTAGTAGAAATACACCAATGAAGCTGAGTTTAGCGAAGACTGTTCTTTCTTAAGGCAGAGCTGACACATACACTGAGACACTTGCCAAGTTTCCAGTCAACTTGTGGGAGATCTTATGTCAAAGACAATTTGGCTTCATGAACTGACAGTGCATCTCAGCTTTCCTTTTGATAGTGGAAATGATAGTTCCGTCTCCTTTTATAATATTGTTGAGACTGCCAATAAGCTGCCAATTTGCTGAAGTTGTTTTGTTAATTATGATAGAAATACATATCAGCTGGACAAAGGCCAACTTGTTTCACATATTCCCGGGGTGGCCAACCCATTAAACAAAGAGAGCCCCACCAGAATTGTTGAAAAAAAAAAAAAAAGACACTGCCCTTAGGCTTTTTGGCCACATCAGGCTCCCACTGGCCGCCACCATCTTGCCACTGCCATTTTGCTGCTCTGGACGGCTCCCCTGTACCCGGTGAGCACAGGGAGCCGGGGGCCATTTGTAGGGGTGCATGGGGCAGCTTCGCAAGTCACACTTTCATGGGAGTGAAGAGCCGCATGCAGCTCACAAGTCATGGGTTGGCCACCCTTGCCTAGCAGCAATCATCAGATAACAGTAACACTCAAATGCTACCAGACTGATGTGAGTTTGTACTACAACCAAGAGGTAGAAACTGCCACATTCCACTGGCAACCCATTGAGCCAGGCAGTCCTCGCCTCGATATACGGCTGTTTAATATATTTAATAAGTAAAGCTTGAAATTTTACATTTTCATAACAACTATAGAAATTTGTTACTGAAATGGCCTTTGTTTTATTTGTGTATGACAGACTTCAAATATACATGAAAGACTTCTGAAATGCTCACATAAAAGAAAGTATGCAGCTGTATTATGAAAAATAAACTGAAATTAAAGATAGGGTTTAATTCACAGTAATCAATATGAATGATACTTATTTTCAAATCCACCCAGTTTTATGATCTATCATAGAGAATCTTGATCCATCACATTAAGGGGTTTGAGCCTCCAAATCATAGTCACATGATAAGAAAGGCTTGTAGGAAGAGGCCAAATATTACCTCCCAGAAAAAATGCATGTGATGTTCGCAAACTAGGTGCCAGCTCATGTCAGTGCCCCAGGCCTTATTGAACACTTATAAATGCATAGCTAGATGTCAGACCAATTCACTTGTGTTTTAGTGTAAATCAAAGTGATTGTTAAACCTGTAATAATGTATTTGGTGTTTAAACTTCATGGAAAACTAATGGGATGCTGAATGCATTTTCCATTGTTTGTATTTTATTATAATGTATTCTATTATATTTAATATGTAATATTCTATTATATATTGAATTATGTTATATTCTATAATATTCTATTCTGTATTCTATTCTATTCTATATTGTATTCTATTATAATTCTTCAACTATTTACATTGAAGAAGCTTCATGTAATGTAAATGAAGAACTTTAACTGGAAAGCACTAATTCCTGTGCATTTGGACACAAGTGTTCATTAGGTCTAGTGATTAAAGATCAATGACTCTATATGCATTCCTTTCTCTTTCTCTTGTTATTCCCTTCCATCATGATTGTAAAGTGTAACCATTGAAAACTACTCTCTGGGAATGGTTGTCCAATCAATTATGCATCCATCTTATAGTAGACCCATCTAGGTTGAACTTCCCTAGTTTACTAATGAGGTCACGTGAGACTTTACTAAAGTTTAGATATACCACATCTTCCACTTTCCCTATATCCACAAGGTTGTTATCCTATCAAAGAAAATTTGGCTATTTTGTTGGTTTGACATTATTTGTTCTTTACAAACGCATGATGACCGTTACCTAGCACATTATTATCTTTTAGATGTTTGCAAATGAATTCCTTAATTATTTATTTCATTATCTTTCTTGATCCAGAAGTTATGCTGACCTAGTGTGTAATTTCCTGGATTGTCATTATGCGAGCCTATCAATTGTTGGGCAAGGGTTCAGGGTTAAAAAAAATGACAATAATCACTAATGGCTCACATATCTCCTCAGTTAGCTCCAGGAGTATTTTAGGATGCATTCCATCAGGCCCTGACTTGAATATATTTAACTTGGTAATTTTTAATTTGTTCTTTTCCAACTTTAGCTTGTGAACATACTCAAATTTTCACTGGCATTCACTATGGGTATGTCTACACTACCCCCCTAGTTCGAACTAGGGGGGGTAATGTAGTCATATGGAGTTGCAAATGAAGCCCGGGATTTGAATTTCCCGGGCTTCATTTGCATAAAGCCGGCCGGCGCCATTTTTAAATGCCGGCTAGTTCGGACTGCGTGCTGCGCCTGTTGATACAACCTAGAATCATATTTGCTTTTTTGGCAACAGCATCACACTGTTGACTCATATTCATCACACTGTTGACTCGTTCCACGAGGAGTAATAGTAGTTCGGAATAGGAAGCCTAATCCGAACTACCTAGTCCGTGCCAAGTGTAGCCACGAGGCATGGAGTCCGCACTAGCGGAAATTTAAAAATGGCGACGCCCGGCAACATGCAAATGAAGCCCGGGAAATTCAAATCCCGGGCTTCATTTGCAACTCCGTATGACTACATTACCCCCCCTAGTTCGAACTAGAGGGGTAGTGTAGACATACCCTATGTTAGGTGTTCAATCACTACCAAACTTCTTGGTGAAAATGAAAACAAAGAAGTCATTAAACATGTGGAACAAGTTTAGGGGAAAGACAATTGAAGCAAAAGATGCAACTCTTTCAAGGGACACCTGGAGTTATCTCTGAAGAAGGCAGAGTTTAAGGAATATGGTAAAAAAACAACATAGAATTCAGATAACACCAAATGGCAAATAGGCATGTTTGGATGTATTTGATATGTTATCATAGAATCATAGAATCATAGAATAATAGGACTGGAAGGGACCTCAAGAGGTCATCGAGTCCAGCCCCCCGCCCTCAAGGCAGGACCAAGCTCCACCTACACCATCCCTGACAGATGTCTATCTAACCTGTTCTTAAATATCTCCAGAGAGGGAGATTCCACCACCTCCCTTGGCAATTTATTCCAATATTTGACCACCCTGTTATCCTTCTCTTGTTCCCAGAATTTATTATATTTTATTTTCTGTAGAGAAATAGCTATTTTCATCCCTCTCAAATTTCTGATTTAGGCTCTGCTTTACACATAAGAAGTTTTACCATCAGAACTATGTCAGTTAAGGGTGTGATTTTTTTTTTGCTGACACAGTTATGCCAGTAAAAGCAGAGTGTAGATCCAGTTATGCCAGTCAACACAGTTGATCAAGGTGCTGTCGATCAATTGCCTTAAAAAAATATCTAAAGGTACATCTAGACTACACACCTTTTTTGACAGAGGCTTTTTCAAAAGTATCTTTCAAAAAAGAGCGTCTAGATTGCATGACGTGGATCGAAAAATCTATCTGCTTTTTTGAAAAAGAGTGTCCAGACTGCCAGATGCTCTTTCAAATAAATATAGCACCCGGAAGTGCTTTTGGCAGGACATGAGGGCAGTCTTTATTTCCAGGTGCTGCTGCATGCCCTTTGCAGAGACGCATGCTTAAAGGGATCCCCCTGGACAGCCATTGCTCTGCTCCTGTTTCTGCCTTGTCTACCAACTGGAGGGAAAGCAAAGCTGCTGCAGTGCTTGCTCTGGTTGCCCTGCTTCCTCGGACACCACAGCAGTTTATTTTCAGGTTTGTTTTTGTGCTTTTCACTGTGTTTTTGGCCATGGAGCCTGAGATGCCCCTGGGCAGGCGATGGCCTCACACTATGATGCTGGAAGTTCTGCTGCATCTTCATGAGACTATCATGATGTTTGTGGCAGAGCTAGATTCAGAGCCCAGCTTTGAGCTTCTCACTCGGGCTGCAGCCCCACTGCCTTTGCTACCGAACTTATTCCTACAGAGGTGAGTTTGGAGGCTGGACACCAGTTCAGACTGGTGGGACCGGCTTGTTATGGAGCAGTGGGATGATGAGGCTTTGCTCCAAAATGTCTGTATGCAGAAGTCCACCTTCCAGGAGCTGTGTGCCTGGCTTGCCCCTCTGCCCTACAACACCAGGACACCCACTTGCGGCCCACCATCCCCCTGGAGAAGTGGGTCGCTATTGCCCCCTAGAAGCTGGCCACCCCTGACAGCTATCGCTCCGTGGGACATCAGTTTGGCGTGGAGAGGTCTACTGTTGGGGCTGTATTGATGGAAGTAAGTCACTCTCTGGGGACTGTCCATGGGGAGGGGGGGCAGATAAGGGGGACAGTCAGGACCAGGCAGAGGGAATGGGGGATGGGGGTGGCAGTGGTAAAAGTCCTCCTGGCCTCACCCTGCCATGGTGCGAGGGAAGGGGGAAAGGGAGATGGAGGGTTGCCTGAAGGGGGTCTCTTGGGGTCTGGGACGGGAAGGGTGAAGAAGCACTGCTCATCAGCTCATGCAACTCCTCTAATGTCCTGTTGTGTGTGTTTCTATGTGTCCCTTTCTGCATGTGGTGATGGCCATCTATTCAGAGCTGCTTCACAGTACTGTCCACCTCGGACACCTGGATACCATCGTGGCCAGATTTGCAGGGCTAGGATTTCCAAACTGCGGTGGAACACTCGATGGGACGCACATCACGATCTGCGCACCACCCCATTGAGCAGCCCAGTATATTAACAAAAAGGGCTATTTTTCTATGGTGCTGCAGGCCTTTGTCGACCACCACGGACAATTCACAGACATTTGTGTCGGGTGGTCAGGCTGGGCACACGATGCCCGCATCTTCTGGAACTCATATCTGTACCGCAGGCTGCAGGCTGGGACATTCTTTCCAGAGTGAAACTATGCAGTCGGGCATGTGCAGATGCCTATGTGCATCGTGGCCGACGCGGCATAACCCCTTATGCCCTGGCTCATGAAGCCATTCACTGGACATCTTGGATGCGAGCAGGGAACTCTTTAACTCCCACCTGAATTGGGCTCACTTCCAGGTGGAGTGCATCTTTGGCCATCTGAAGGGCAGGTTTAGATGCCTGCTCACTCAGCTGGACATGGGGGAACACAACATCCCCGATGTGGTTGCTGCATGCTGTGTGCTGCACAACCTAGTGGCGAGGAAAGGGGAGGCTTTCCTCCCAGCATGGGGGACACGGGCTGATGTGGAGGGGAGGCACTTTGAGCAGCCCCGGACAGCTGCCATCCGGAGAGCCCGGACACACCATTTTTTGAGGAATGCAGGATATGTTGAAAAAGGGTTTATTTTTCAACAGATCCCAGTCTAGACTGCCATTTTTTTCGAAAAAGCTCCGTGTCAAAAAAAAGTGGCGGCCATGTTTATGCTAATGAAGCGCAGGATATTTAAATCCCTGCCTCATTAGCAATTTTGTCGACAGAGAGGTGTAGTCTAGACATATCCCCAGAGTGGTTGATGCTATGCATCAAAGTTCAGACTTAAGAGATATATGTGTAGCCACAGATGAGATTTACAATAACATCATCATCATCAGTGATAGACTACCAACATCACCAATATAAGGCACTTTATACAGGTATAGTTTATTTCACTTTACCTAACTGGAAAAGGCTATGCCAGTATAAGCACTTTTATTCGAATATAACTCCATATACACTATGCAGCTTTGCCATTTTAACTATACCGGCATAGCTCAATTAGCTGAACTTCTAAGTGTAGACAAGGCCTTAGTCTTCTTCTGTCTTGTTGGCATCCCTCCCTTGCCAATAACTGAACAATGATACAATTATGTTATTCTTTTGAAGACAAAAAATAAAGATAAATAAAGCCGGAGCGCTTTTTTAAACAGTAACCTTCATACCTTCTCTCGATATGGCTATAATGTTGTGGGGACAGCAGCATTTGCTATATGTTTGCATTGTGCTTACCTCAATGGGGTCCAATCAGATTGTGGCCAGTAGGTGCTATGGGAATTTAAATGGTAAATAATTGAGGCTGCAACAGCAAGATGTTCCATGTAACATTCTCTAGAATACCCTTTCCCTCAGTTCTACATATAAGAGAACTCACCCATGGGTTGAAGACTATTTGGACGTCATTGACTGTTGCATTAGCAACACTGCCAGAGATAATTCGTTTAGTATAATTATAATGACTCCTGTAAGTTTTGGATTGGAAAAATTTATCATTTTGATATAAGACAAAGCCAATGCTTCCAGGTATAGATGAACCTACAGCTGGCAAAGAGAAAAGACATGTAGGTCATAAATACTAATTAAATAGATTATTATAGGAAGAACTGATAGCAACTCCTATATTTAGCTTGCCTACACTTCCATTGTAAAAGATCCTTTGAGAAGCTTTTACTCCTCCGTTATACACAATAGGCCTTAATATTTGCCAGGGAAACCCCTTGAGCTAAGGAAGTACCTTTTTTTGTTCCCTAAGATTCCAGTCTGTTTCTCCTGAGACAGTAACTGTTAAAAAAAATCACTGTTTCCTTTCTCAGAGTCACATCCCCTGGGGCAATTTTGGCACTCTACCAGAATTAATTAAAAACAATTATCAAAGCTAATATGTGAAATCAAAATTCACATTACACAGTATTAGAGAAAAGGCTCTGAGCATCTGAAGTTATGCTCAGATTATTTAAAATTAAAAGTCTTGCTTAGGAAATCACAAGATAGAAATGGTACATAACCAGCATTGACTCAGATTTAGGTGTGTGAGTTAATAGGTAATAGGGAATATGCATGAATATTCCCAATCTCCAGGTTCACAATGATGACAAAATCACAAGCATTAGATTCAGACATCTTCTTCTTTGTCCTTAGCTTCTATGGGAGCATAGGCCATCAACAATTTCTTTCCAAGCCTCTCTGTCTTATGCCACTTTTTCTAATTCTCTCCAGCTTTTGCCCATTTTCCTCACATTCACATCCAGGTCTCTTCTCCAACTATTCTTTGGCCTTCCTCTTCCCCTTTTTCCCTGTGGGTTCCAGGATAGGGATTGTCTGGTAATGCTAGTTGGTGGCTTCCTAAGTGTATGGCCAATCCATCGCCATCTTCTCAAAATCTCTTGCTCTACTGGGCATTACCTTGCTCTTTCCCATAAGCTAATGTTTGTAATAATCAACTTCAAATGCAAAATAAAACAGTGAAGCTGGACAAGATTTCACAGTAGATGGGACTGAAGATCCACAAGAGGAAGACTAAGATCATGAAAGTGAATGCAGCAAGTAACAGCAGCCCAATTGTCCTGAGAGGAACGACACTGGAGGAAGTTGATACCTTCACTTATTTAGGTAGTATTGTAAATAAAGTAGGAGGTACTGACGAAGATATTAAAACCAGAATACAGAAGATTCAGACACGGTACTGAGAATACACGAAAGTTATCAGAGCAGCTATGAGGATGGGAGAGAAGAGATCTTGGCATCTTCCCCTCAGACCCAGAACATGGCCTCAGTGGCTCATGCAGTACATGGAACAGGAAGTGGGATATATGGGTCTGCCCCAAACATACACCTTCTCCACACAGCACCTAGTCTCAGCAGCTTATTCTCATCTTCTGAGGATACCTGATGGAGCAGTTTCTCACCTAATAGCTAAGCCAGGCTAAGCTCCACCCATCTGCTCCCAATACAGCACATTCACCTGGTGGTCCACCTGCCCCTCTAAGATAAAACAAGCACCTCTTTCTGCCAGCTAACACAGTTAAACCTGTACCTCAAGAACTCCTGTTGCAGTCTATGCTGCTGAAGGCTCAGAGTGGAGCTGAGGGGATGTTGTTTACAGTTGCACATAGTAGAATTTGTATTTACCTTTTCAATTTAAGAAAACCTAAGAAGTTACAAACCAAAAAACCCCCTAATTTTAAAACGCTTCATACAATGTATTAACGTAGACAACAAATTAAAGTAATATTTAAAAAATAGAGAAAATATTGCAGACAAAGAGGAAAATGCTAATACAGGGGAGCCAACAGCCTCTCCAGGCCTCTGAGCAAGGTATTTGGGGCAGTGGAAGGGCTGTGACCAGGACAGCTGATTCTCAGTGCCTCCTGGACCACAGCACACCCCACAAGCCCTCAGTGCTGCCTGGAATGCATCGCACCATGCCCCTGCCTCTCCAAACAGCCCTATGAACCAATTGGAGCACATGGCTCGGTGTTCCAGTGGCAATTTAAAGGCTCCGAGGCTCCCAGGGCTGCTGCAGTAACAGCAACAGTAGCCAGGAACCCCAAGTCCTTTTAAATCACCTGGCTGTGGGGCACTTGCCCTCTTTCCTCCCCACATCGACAAGCCTACCCTAACATATCAGTCTGTAGACTGTATCACCTTTAGGATGGGGAAGGCTGAGCAAAGCATCAGAATTCTCTACTTTATGGTGAATGAGACAGTGAAAATAATAAGTGCTACAGAGCAATTAGAAAACACCAGTTTAAAAACTTCTGGTGTGTTTAATTATTTGTATCAGAGGGGTAGCCGTGTTAGTCTGAATCTGCAAAAGCGACGAGGAGTCCTGTGGCACCTTATAGACTAACTGAAGTGTAGGAGCATAAGCTTTCGTGGGCAAAGACCCACTTCGTCAGATGCATGTAGTGGAAGTTTCCAGAGGCAGGAATAAATATGCAGGCCAGGATCAGGCTGGAGATGACGAGGTGGATCCAATCAAGGAGGATGAGGCCCACTTCTAGCAGCTGATCTGGAGGTGTGAATTCCAAGAGAGCAGAAGCTGCTTTTGTAGTTAGCAAGCCATTCACAGTCTTTGTTTAATCCTGAGTTGATTGTGTCAAACTTAAAGATGAACTGTAGCTCAGCAGTTTCTCTTTGAAGTCTGGTCCTGAAGTTTTTTTGCTGCAGGATGGCTACTTTTAGATCTGCAATTGTGTGTCCAGGAGATTGAAGTGTTCCCCTACAGGTACACTTTAATTATTTGTATAACACATTTTTGCTGGTATCAAATCAATGAATAATCAAATAAGCAGAGGTGACATTATAGCAGTTAAGAAACAGATGGACATCTGTGAAAAGAACTTATAAGAATAGAATTACGTTTTTAAAATGTTATAGTTGTAATGAAGATGAGGAAAGACAGTAGCTATTTTAATCAGTTCTCCTGGGTTTATTGTAAAGTCTTCCATCACAGAAAGAGCAAAAGACGTAAATTTTTTAGCCTACCTGATTGTATTCAGATAGAGGAAAATAACAAGAAAGAGAAAAAATATATAAAGTCTGCATGTGAGGGAAAATATAGTAGCTCAATCTGAGACAGAAATTACATCACAATTGGTGAAAAGAATGTTATTATTTAGATTAGAAAGTCAAGCACTTGAAAGTCGGGAAAGGTCAGATCCATAAGCCTTTTGCCTATATTGTCCTTTTGCACCACCCTCCTGATCATTGAATGAGACAGGAATCCTGTAGGAAAAATGTTTGTAATAATGAAATTAATCATAAACTAATCACATTTTAATTATGAAATTAAAGCCCATACCATAATAAATATGGACAGAATTAAGGTTACATGGGAAATTGTCTATCTGGCATTTCCTAACTTTCTACTGCTTGACTTTGAAACAAAACACAACTCTTATGTGCAGCTCTGACAATCCAATTATAATGCATCATTTGAAATTTAACTGTCCTGTACTGCAGCACAGACTTTTACACCAGTGAAACTACCAAACTAAAACAGCTTTCTACTGCTACAGGGTTGGACCTTCCTGGTCCTGCACGGTTGATATGGTTCATGTCACCTTTGTTTTGGCAAGTTGTCAACATTTCCTTGAGGAACATAAGAGAAGTGTCAATTTTCAAATATTTGTACCTCAGTGGCCAATACCAGATGCCCCAGAGGGAGGGATCACAACAGGTGATCCTCACGTGATCCCTCCCCTGTCACCCACCTCCAGAGAAACAGAGGCCAGGGACACCATTCCTACCCATCTTGACTAACAGCCTTTGATGGACCATGAATCTATCTAGCTCTTTTTTGAACCCTGTTAAAGTCCTACCCTTCACCACATCATCTGGCAAGGAGTTTCACAGGTTGACTGTGCGCTGAGTGAAGAAAAACTCCCTTCTGTTTGTTTTAAACCTGCTGCCTATTAAATTCATTTGGTGACCCCTAGTTCTTATAGTGTGGGAATATGTAAATTACTTTTCCTTGTATATTTCAAAGGTTCAGATGCCGCAGGGAGCGCGCTCCCTGTGGGGCTACCGCTTTTGAACTGTAGCAAGAGCCCAGTAAGACTCTTGCAACAGTTCAAAGGTGGAGGCACCCCAATGGACTAATTGCATAGTTGATGGAAATCCCATCAGCTATTCGATTAGTTAATTAATCTAAATTTAACATCCCTCGCCATGTTACAGGTAAGTCAGCAGTGATTCACAAATAAGGTCACAGTTAGTTTCGTCGTGTACATTTCTTGTTCTATGCTATGTGCCCTAATATATGTACATAAAAAAAAAACATTCTTTTGTAGATTTTAGTTAAGGGAGTGTGAGAACACTTTTGTGTAGAATTTGTCCAGCACAAGTTTTTGCATACTTACTGTTGTTGTTTGTAATGTTGATCAGTATTTGAACTTCAGTATTGGCATCATTTTTAAAGTCAGAGACACTGTTACCTACTTTAATATTTTCAGACTGTAAATTTTTTGATCCTGTGCAGGCAAAAGACATCAAAGAATTTATTCTAATTGTTAGAATTTGTAAACATTTGTTCATTGTCCTTGTAATTCCCACAAAGCAAATAAGCTTACCTTTCTTTACAGAGAGAAAAGCTGTAGTTGATCCTACCTCCAATGAAAGGTTTTGAACTGCAATATTGGGCTGAACAGAAGAGCCACCCAAAGAGAATTCTTCCAGTGTCTGTGTGAGGCTGCATTGAAATAAGGCATGGTGTATTGTCTTTACCACAATAAAGTGTATCAGAATGTGGAGCCAATGTTTATGCGCCCACGGTGACTTCAATTTTGTTCCACAGAGTGTAGGACAGGGTGGAAATTGGTCACAAATTTAATTCTAATGGGCCAAATACCATTATTGTTGAAGTCAAAGGGAGATTTGCCTTTGACCTCAATGGAACAAGGATTTGACCTTTTATGCATCAAGAGGGAGAAATCTAGAATATTTCTATAATTTAATAGTTGGATAGATACCTGGGAGAAGTGTGTTAATGTATTCAAGAACCTTCTCTTTTAAGGAGACAACATGCTAGTAACTCTGCTTTTCCACTCTCTGGACATGCTACTAGTAATAATAATGCTTTACAATTCTCTGGTCCCTTTCATAGGTTGGTTTAGGTTGGATTAGGTTGGATTTTAGGAAAAACAATTTCACTAGGAGGGTGGTGAAGCAGTGGAATGGGTTACCTAGGGAAGTGGTGGAATATCCATCCCTAGAGGTTTTTAAGTCTTGGCTTGACAAAGCCCTGGCCGGGTTGATTTAGTTGGAATTGGTCCTGCCTTGGGCAGGGGGCTGGACTTGATGACCTCCTGAGGTCTCTTCCAGCTCTATGATTCTATGATACAAGAATCTCAAAGTGTTTATTCATTAAACTCCACATCACCCTAGGAGGTTGGGTAAGAACCCTTTTGGCCATGGTACTGATTAATTGATTGGCCCAAGATGATAGAGCAAGTCGGTGGCAAAGCTAGGAACTAAATGCAGGAGACTTCATTTGACATCCCCAACTCTAGACCTCAGATTAGGAAAACTGGGCCAGCTTCATCATTTGATCCATCATCACATACCATAAGCCCTGGGATATCTCCTAAATCAATGAAGTTACCTTGGAGATTAATTTGTCTCATTCTCTTTGGGTATGTCTACACTACAAAGTTAATTCGAACTACCAGCCGTTAGTTGGAATTAACTTTAATAGGGGCTACACATACAAACCGCTAGTTCGAATTTAAATCAAACTAGCGGAGCGCTTAATTCGAACTAGGTAAACCTCATTCTATGAGGAGTAACGCCTAGTTCGAATTAAGTAGTTCGAATTAAGGGCATTGTAGCCACTTAATTCGAACTAGTTAGAGTCTAGCCCTTCCCAGCTTGCCCCGGTGGCCACTATGGGCCAAACCAGGGAAACTCTTCTGCCCCCCTCTCGGCCCGGAGCCCTTAAAGGGGCACAGTCTGGCTATAGTGCTTGTGCCAGTTGCAAGCCTGCCAGCACCCAGCCAGCAGACCCTGCACCTGACACGGCATGAGCCAGCCACCCACTGCCACCCAGCCCTCAGCCTCTTCCCAGAACCTGGCTGGCGGCTCACAGGAGCCTGCCCGGGGCCACAAGAGGCGGGCGCCCACCTGGTCTAGTGCAGCGATCGTGGACCTCATCGAGGTTTGGGGGGAGGCCTCCAACATCCACAATCTCTGCACTAACCCACCCACTGCCCCCCAGCCCTCAGCCTCTTCCCAGAACCTGGCTGGCGGCTCACAGGAGCCTGCCCGGGGCCACAAGAGGCGGGCGCCCACCTGGTCTAGTGCAGCGATCGTGGACCTCATCGAGGTTTGGGGGGAGGCCTCCAACATCCACAATCTCTGCACTAGGCACAGGAAAGCGGCCGGCTAGGGCAGGAGAGCTGCCAGCCTGGCCACCCAGGAGCAGGGGTGCAAGAGAATCAAAGGGGTCCAGTG